ATTAATCACAAATCTAGATAGTATATAGATGTGTACTGTAAAATCTCATAATACTTTTCATAATAAAATTTTCCATCAGCTTTGAAGTTCTCTGAAAGTATCTGAGAACATGGATATAAAAATAACATTTAAGAAATTAGAATTGGTAATATCACTAGACTGTAAGAATTATTTGCTTAGTTCTCCAGTATATTCCTGTCACAGATGAATGACTCCTTAAAATCAGAAACTGTATCCTAACTGAATCTTCATCATCCTGCACAGCCCCTGGTATAAAGAGGTATGCAGTAAGTGGCCACTGAACCTAAGACTCTATTATAAAGAGAAAACTGGGAGATTAACATTTAAAAAACATAATATGTGTATTAGTTAAAAAACAAGAAATCTGAGCCTCTAATATTACATAAAAATGTCAGTCATAAAAAAATTACAAATTTGTCTGAGTATCATTATTTTGGAGAATAAAAGAAAACAAATTTGGAAGACTAAAGTAAGAAGGAGCTACAAAGTACAGGTATTTCCTGTGTTACAAATGATAATTCTATCACACAAGCCACTCATACTATTGCTTTTGTCTCTCTGACTTTCTAATACTTTTTCCCTGAAAGTCTTTTTAAAATGAACCTAGTTGTACATCACAGTCCTGGGTGTAATTTGTTTAAAAAAAAAAGATTTTGGTGTCCTATTCCAGATAATCATTTCTGGGGAAGAGTTCAAAAATCTGTATTCATAAAAAAAAAAAAAAAAAAATCTGCATTCATAATGAACACCTATGGCTGATTCTGATGCATCCTGGCTCTCAAAGGAAATATGTGAAATGCTCAATGCTTGGGAAAGTTGAAAGGATGAATCTCAAATTAATCTATTAAATATTACTACCTCCCTAACTTGATATATGAGAAGGGTGGAGAATTGTAAATAAAAGTGTATAAAAAGTATACTTTACCAACATAAAAATTTGCAAAGAGTCAGTCCTGGGATGAAGCTCAATTCCTTTTTCTCCTACAAAATAGATGGCTTCCAGCAATCAGTTTACTTAGTGTATTGGACCTAGTATTGTAGTACTCTTCTGCTATAGTATAATAAAACATGTTTTTGGAAGCTCTTTATTCACATATAATAATGTTTCTGAGAAAACATGGATTCTGATTTCCAAAGAATCATCTCAGAAACAAATATTCAGAACACTACCCATTATTAGTACTGCCTGAATACTAATTGATACTTGTATCATGCTAACAGTGAAATTAACTGAATATTACACAGAAGCCTAGCAAAAGCACACATTTACAAGTAATAGGTCCTTCACATTACATTATAAAATATTAAGTCTTAAAATTTTTCTTATGCAACACTTAATTTCTATTATCAAAATTTTCGATGTTTTTTAAAAATACTCTAAGTTTATCAAAAGTTACTGCTTTTGAAAATATCACAGTATATTTTTTAAGAAATACTCCAGCTACTACTTAAAGTTTTAATTATCAACATACAATCGATTTCTATAGATAAAAAAACTGACATATTTTAAAAATTATATGACAAAGACCAAAATTGGAGAGATCCCATAATCTGATTTCTAGACTTAACCACAAAGGTATAGTTATCAAGACAGTGTAATATTGGTGAAATGATGGACATGTAGATTGTTGGAACAGCATATAATCCAAAAATAAATCCATACAATATTAAATCTACTGATTTTTTTACAAAAGCACAAAAGTAATTCATTGGAGAAAGACTAGTCTTTTCAGCCAATGGTGCTGAACAACTGGATATTTTGCATCCACATGCAAACGATTCTACCTTAACCTTCAACCCATATCACATACCTTATACAAAAAATGAATCCAAACCCTAAACATAAAACTTCTACAAGAAAACATAGGAGAACATCTCTGTGACTTTAGATTAGGCAAAGATTTCGTAGATATGACACCAAAAGCCCTAACTCTTAAAAGAAATTTTTGATAAACTGAACTTTATCAAAATCAAAAACATTTCCTCTGCAAAAGGCAAAATGGAAAAAGACTAGGAAAAAATATTTTCAAATCACATGTCTGACAAAGGACTTATATCCATAATATTTAAAGAACTCAATTCTCAACAATAAGAAAACACACACTTTGAAAAAGAGTTTGGCTGTTTCTCAAAAGGTTAAACATAGAGTTACCACATGATCCAGCAATTCCACTCCTAGGTATGTAGCCAAAAGAATTTAAAACACATGTCCACGAAAAACTTGAACATGAATGTTCACAGTGGCATCATTCATAATAGGCAAAAAGTAGGAATAAACCTAAATGTCTATCAACTGGTGAACTGATAAACAAAATGCGGTATATCTGCACAATGGAATATTATTCAACTATAAAAGAGAATGAAATATGGATATATCCATCAACGAAGATGAACCTTGAAAATATAATTTTAAGTTAAAGTAGCCAGAAACAGCAAGGCACATATTGTATGATTCCATTTAAATGAAATGTCCAGAATTGGCTAATCCATAGAGACAGAAAGCAGATTAATGGTTGCTAGAGATAGGTTGGGGAGGAATGGGAGGAAATGGGGAGTGACTGCTAATGGAGATGAGGTTTATTTTGGGGGTATCGAAATGTTTGGGAATTAGACACAGTGATGGTTGCACAATTTTGTGACTATACTAAAACAATGAATTATACATTTTAAAAGGGGGAATTTTATGATATGGGAATTAAATCTCAATAAAAATAGAAAAAGAAAACAACCCAATTTAAAATGAGCAAAAGATGTGGACACTTCCCCAATGGAAATATACAAATAGCAAAGAACAAGATGCTCAAACATTATTAATCACTAAGGATGTAAATACAAATTAAAATCACAATGCTTTACCACTATATACCTATTAGAATGGCTAAAAAGTTTTTTTAATGACAATACCAAGTGCTGGTAAAAGGCAGAGCAGCTAAAACGTGATCCAATGCTGGTGAAAATGGAAAATGGTATAAGCCAGTTTCGTAGTTTCTTACTATTTCTTACTACTACTAAATATTCACTTAACACATGACTCTGCAATCCCATTCTTAGTTATTTACCCAGGAGAAATAACAATTTATGTTCACACAAAAATCTGTGCATGAATGTTTATGGCAGCTTTATTCATAATCTCAAAAAAACTGAATTATCCTTCAACCGGCCAACAAATAAACATTTATAGTACATCCACAGAATGAAACACTACTCAAAAATACAGGAATGAATTATTGATGTATGTAACACACAGATGACTCTCAAATGCATTTTGTGTAAGAAGTGAAACTAAGAAGCCAGACCCAAACATATCAAACAAGCACGTTTATATCCACTCTGGAAAAAAAAAAAAACTACAGGGATGGAAACAGAGATTGCCAGGTGTGGTGAGGTGAACTATGAAGAGGCAGCAGAGGAAATCTGGGGAGCTTGGTGGAACTTTCCTGTGTCACTATTATAATGATGGATACAAGGCTCTTAGCATTTGTCAAGGTAGACAGAATTGTACCACAAGAGTGAATTTTACTGTATGTAAGTTTTAAATAAGTAAATCCACTGATTAATCACAAAACCCCCACCTTAAATGTAGAAGCAACGTTCCGCTACAGATCAAAGCACTCTCAAGTGTTCTTAAACTTCCTTCAAAGACAGATGGAGACAAGTTTTATTATTTTCACTTTGCAACTAAGAAGCAGCATAGAATAAACAGTCTACAAGTTTCTAGTACTAGTCAGAGAGGCTGAGCTATCGCTTATGTCCCTAGTTTTTGTAGTCCACTATGTTACGGTACCAGATACCAACAGTAGTAACAAGTAACAATTCTTTTAATCAAACTAAATTACTTGTTTACATTGTTTCACAAAGGAAGAGTCAAAATAAATAAGTATTTTAGAAGGATGGAAGTGTGCATATCCAAAAACAGTTAAAATTACTTTAAAAATATATTATATATAAATATATAATGTACAATTACACATTAATATACATAATTCACACAAAAATGAATCCTCCCTTTGGCCTAGGAAATCCATATCATAAAGGAGACTAACTTCCAATGGGTGTTTAAGATAAACGATAGTATAATACAAAAAACATGATGCACTAAAAATGAGACTCTAAACAGGTGGAACATCACAGTAAACGGAAACAAATAAAGCTTCCGTCTTTCACCAAGTGAAAGGGGCATGTTCATCCCTGTCTTTTGTAGGTCTTAGACTTTGCACAGCGCACCTGTTGTTTTAAAAAAAAAAAAAAAAAAAACCACCAGCAATTCACTCTGACCCACAAAACCCCAAAGCCTTGAAAATGGGACACATTCTTGGGTCAGGTTATGAACTAAAAACACACAAGCAACAGACTGAGTTATTCTCCACGGGAGTTGCCTTTTCGTTATCGGCCCAACCCAGGGGAGCAAGCCGGAGTCCAAGCTGCACCGCCGGAAGCGGGCGCCGAGAAAGCGCCTCGGGGTTAGCCCTACGGAGGCCGAGGAAGGAAGGGGGGAGGCGTCTTCGGTAACAGCGCCTTGCCTTCACGTGCGAAGCAGCGTGCGGCACTCCGTGGGCTCTCTGGGGCCTCCGTCATAACGCAAGGGGGAAAACGACAGGGATGAGAGCAAACCCAGGAGCGTGACGTCGCTCCTCCTCGCCCGGCATGGGACAAGGGGCAGAAAAGGGCATCTCGCCGGGATTTGAACTCTAGACCCATGGAACCCACGGCGGGTCCCCCTCAGCCGCTCCGCTGGGAAAGACAGACCTTTTCGTCCCGCACCCACGACCCTCCCCTAAGCCCAAAAATAAACAACCCGCGGGCGGAGGCCTGGGAACTGCCGCCCGGCTTTACGTAACTTGACCCAGAGGAGGGCGGGCGGCAGGTGGCAGCACAGGCGAGCGGGGGGCCTGAAGCCCCATGAAGACCGGACCGGCTCAGGCAGCGAGAGGGCCGGGCGGGAGGCAGGCGACACTGAGGAGCGGCGGCGGTCTCGTTACCTTTCCAGATGCCCAGAGAGAGCTGGGACGTGTCCAGGTCCGCCACATAGTCTCCCAAGAACCGGTTCAACACGTCCACGACCACCGACTCGAATACCATTTTCCTCAGCAGCGGTGGGCACGGCGGCCGCCCTACCCGCCCCGCGCTCCTTCTTCCTGCGCCTGCTCCCGCGCCCCTCCCTCGAGACCGCTCGGTTCACCGGCTCCGGGGAGGCTCCGGCTGTGGCGCCACCGCTGGCAGGACGTGCAGCCCCTGCGCGAGCCCAGCGAAGCGTGCAGGCGGCCTCTCGCTCCACGCGTGCGCAGCTCTGCCCGCGGGTGGAGGCGGGGCGCGGCGGCCCCACAGGGAGGAAGGGCGGCTGCGCGGCCGCGGGTCTGGCGCGCGCCTCTTTCGGGCCTGGCCCCGCTCCTCTTTCCCGTCGGCCCCGCCCCCTCCCTCATCGCTTGGCAACGGGACACGTGTCTAGAGCTGCAGAATTTGTTCCGACCCCGCCCCTCGGGGCGAAGTAGGGGCGTGGCGCGGCGGGTACGCCAGACAGAAATGTCTCTACCCCTGAAAGTGACAGCCCTCCCCACGGGGTCTGAGGACTTGTTCCAAAGTAAGGCGTGGGGGGATTTCAGCCCCTTCGCTGTTAGGTTGGAGACCTCACGAGGGGGCGTCCCAGAGAGCATCCTCCTATCATTACAGGTTGGGAGGGTCTGGCCAGCTGGGTGTCTGGGAGTTCGTAACTGCCCTGTCTGGTCCTCTGAAGGCCCTTGGGATGACTTGACTTCTCTGCTGCAAATGGGGAATTGCGGGGGAAAGGGGAAGGTAAGAGTAAAGTCGAGGATGCAATTCCGCAGCCCGTTCCTTACATCTGAGATGATCACACATTTTTGGTCAAGTCATTTATGCGGAGCCTCCTTTCTTTCCAAAGAATGGCACGTTTCCCTGCAGATAGAGTCAGCAGATCTAGAAACTGTGAGCACCCTCCAAAGAATAAGGAGAGTCCTAGACCCTCACTCCTGAGCCTCCACAAAATTACTGACCTAAAATAAACAAATAAAAATCAGAGCTCTTTCAGCCCCACCCGTTTGGTCTTACGTAGAAATAGTCCCCAAGGACTGAGGTCACAGAGACGCTAGATGTGAGGTTTAGAGAACTATAATTAATCATCCTCTTAAGAACTTGAGTATACTTTGAACTTTTTCTCTTTGCATATTAAATGAATGATGATGACTTTCTGTTAATTCCTGTATCATTTTAGTACTTTTTGTGAATAGTCTTCAGATTTTTCAAAATTGAAGGTTTACAGTGTGCCTTTGCAAGTAGAATTCCTGACAAAAACAGTGTAAATTTTTACATGAATTTATAAATTATTTTATTATATAATTTTATATTTGAAGGGACTTTATGAGGTCTCCAACCTCTTGGTCTTAAAAATAATGAAGCTGAGATGTCAGGAATTTGCCCAAGATCCCACAAATAATGTTCTGTGGAAGTAGAACTGGAACCTGGCCCTTCTGATTGACCTCGATGGCTAACAAAGGTGGAATTCTACCTCAGAATACCTGCACAGAGAAACTAATAGAGGCAAAAATGCCTAGGAAAGGGAAAAGCCCTACATGATGCGGTATTTTGCTACTGCGCTATTAATAAGCCAGATACACAGTAGCTACAAAATTCCACTGTTATATCTAGCACTCTAAATCTGAAGTTACAAGAACTTTCAGAACTCACTCCAAAAATACATCTTAAGTATCTTGTAAACACTTTCATACTAGTTTTCTTCAATCCAGAAAAATCTTATGGAATTGGGTAAGGGTGGGGGGAGGCTTAAAAATTAGAGGGATAAGTATTTAATTGCTAAACAGAGCAATGAAAGAAATGCTGAGGCAGTGTGAAAAATACTAATAAATAAGATGGCACATATTGTAACTGAATTCTTATCTAGTGTTATATGGTATATCACGAACGTGTTTCCTGATTACTAAAAGATACAATTTTGCATTCAGTCCTTGTGTTGTTTAATTCATCTGAGGAAGTTTGTAAGTGAAAATATATCATCATCATGTGAAAGATAATTTTACTCATTAAACCATTAAAATATATTTCTGTTGGACCTTGAAAAATGAGCCTAATGACTACTAAAAAGAATCATTTTGAATTTGGGGATATGTCAGTGTAAGTTATTCTTTCTCTAGATCATAATTAAAATGCTATACTTGTTTGACCAAATGAAACAAGAAAAAAAAGCATTCAAATGACCCTGGACTGCAGCATCATCCAACGTTACAATAAACCTCTAATGTTGCAAGTAGGACTTGCTGTTTTATGTTTACTTTACATGCCATATCTTTCTGTCTTTGAAGTGTAGGCATGCTGGTAGTAATCTTGGATTTTTTTCCTCCTAATCGTAATTCCTCTTTCCACAAGTAAATATCACTGATGTGCTACCTGTCTTTGTCATTCCCCATGAGTCTTGTAGCAGGCTAGATGGCCAGATAACAAAGCCATTGAAGCAGACCACATTCCAGAAAGGTGTCTTGGAGGAACAGGTCTACAAGATAGCTATTTTGCAGGACTTTTACTGATCTACCCTCATGGAGCCCTGTACTCTGCCTCAGTTAATGATTTAAAATTTTTAAACAACAAAAAGTTAATTTGGATTTATGTTTCAATCCTTAGAGAGAGAGAGAGAAATTCGTTGGAAGGGGAATACAAGCAAAAGGTTAAGAACCTTACCAGAATCTTAGGGTGTGTGTGTGGGGGGAGGTGGGGGTGGGGGCTGAATGTAAATTGACACAATCTTTCTAAAAGGCAATTCCTAAACATTTACAAACATATATATATGGATATATCAGTGTATATTATATACATACATATATACATGACTTTTGGTTCAGCAATCTTACTTCTACTTATTTAGTCTAAAGAAAATAATTATAAAAATCCAAAAATCAATCCCCACAAGCACAATCATTAAAGCATTGTTTATAATAGCAAAAAAAAAAATTGGAAACAATGAGTTACTATGCAGACATTAAAATGATAATGAAGATCTATGTTAATATGGAAGGATGTCAATAATATACTTTGTGTGAAACAAGGTACAGAGTAGTATCACACCAGTTATGTAAATTGTGGATGTGTTTTTACATGTGCAAAGAATATACATACAGAAAGAAATCTAGACATATGCTCACAAACAGTGGTTACCCCCAAATGGTAAGACTTTGGGTAATTAGTGAATTTTTTGCTGTTCTTTCAATTTTATTTTTTTACAGTGAGCATGTATTAATTTGTTCTTCCAAACTGGTGAAGAGAAATGTGTTAGAGTTGCTATTATATTGTATGTTATTTTATAATTATTTAGGAAAACTATATATGCACATGGACGAATTGCTGCGAGCATGGTTTCAACCTTGTTGGAGAATTGATCTAAAAATGGATGTGAACTTTGAAAAGTCTACCAAAAGATGTAAGCAGACATTTTCCAAAAAGTATTACACAGATGGCAAATAAGCAGGTGAAAACATGTTTAACATCATTAGCCATTGGGGAAATGAAAATGAAAACCACAATGAGATATCAGTATATCTTATCATATTTAACCTATTAGAATGGTTAAAAAAATAGTAATAATACCAAATGCTGGTGAGGATATGGAGAAACTGGATCATTCATTCAATGGAGGTGGGACTGTAAAATAGTACAGCCACTCTGCAAAACAATTCAGCAGTTTCTACAAAAATTAAGCATGCCCTTACCATGTGAACCAACAGTTAAATTGTACTCTTGGACATTTATCCCAGAAATGAAAACTTATGTTTACGTAAAAATCTGTACGTGAATGATCATAGCAGCATTATTCATAATAGCCAAAACCTGGAAATAACCCAAATGTTTTTCAACTGGTGAATGGTTAAACAAACTGTGGTACATCCATACTATAAATACTACTCAGCAGTAAAAAGGAATACACTATTGATATGTGCAACAGCTTGGTTAGATCTCAGGGGAATTAGGCTAAGTAAAAACCATATGTCCTAGTTATAAAATATTCTTGACATAAGAAAATTATAGGCATGGAGAAGAGATCAGTGGTTGCCAAAGGTTACATATGAGCAAGACCGGGTAGGTGTGGGTGCAAATGGATGGCAGGAAGGACCTGTGTTTATGGTACACTTCAGTATCGCGATAGTGATAGTGGTTACATAAAATTGCATAAACTACATACACGTGAGTGCATATAAAACTGGTGAAATCTAAATAGGCTCAGTGGATGGTACTGATATCTTTATTTCCTGATTTTGATACTGCCTTACAGCTATATGTTACCATTGAGGAAACTGAGTGAAGCATACATGGGACCTCCCTATAAAGTTCTTCTTTTTATAACTGCCTATCAATCTATAATTATTTTAAAGTAATTTTTAAAGTGTCTGCTAATTTGAGCTCAACTAGGAAGTGCCCCAGAGGATGAGATGAGCCTAAAAGTTAAGAGATTCTACATGATGCTTTAATATCCCTGCGCAGGGTGCTTGGTAAAATATTTAAGAACAAAAAGTATCTGAATGTGGTGCCTTATCAAAATGTATTAAAATATCAATTACTATGTGGTCCCCAGTAAAATACTAGAAAGAGATTGTACAATAAAGGATTTTCAAGCACTTTCCTCTGGCTCTAAGTATGTAAAATGACTGAGCTCTTCCCAAATAAAGATGATTCCAAATGCTGATGTCCATCAGTGTTTGCTGATTTCATATTTTTACATGGCTGATTTTATATGGTTGATTCCTTGTCATTCAGGTTCATGCCCAAATACCACCTATCATAGAGGTGAGGTATTCCCTGGCCTCTCAGTCTCAAGTAGCCAGCAGTCACACTCTGTCATATCACCTTAGCAGCACCTGAATCTAGCTTGCATTTTCCCCAACACTGGCAGAATCAGTATCATCTCACCATCTCAAAGACATCAAAACCAACCTTATATTCCCCATCCTTAGAATTTTGCTTCTCAGAACTCAAAGACACAGGGACCAGCTAAGCAGCCCCCTCCTTGGAAGTCTAAGTTTCAGCTTGAGGGCTCCTCTTCTAAGTTTCCAAGCCTGTCTCTT